TGAGTGAGTGAGTGAGTGAGTGAGTGAGTGAGTGAATGCATAGCTGAGTGAGTGAGTGAGTGAGTGAGTGAGTGAGTGAGTGAGTGAGTGAGTGAGTGAGTGAGTGAGTGAGTGAGTGAGTGAGTGAATGCATAGCTGAGCTCGCATCCGAACGGCCCAGGACATTCACTTCACATTCGTGCACCACTACTCTGAGTAAATGAAAGCTGAGCAAGCCTGGAGCCGAGGGGCGGGGCCCCACGCGGCGCCGTCGCCGTAGAAACGCGCACGCTCCGGTGCGCACCCGCAGCTCCCAGCGGCCCTCGCGTTTCCGGTGGAAAGATGGTGGCCCGCAAGAGGAAGCGTGCGGCTCGGGAGCCTGCGGAGGGAACCCTGAGCCCGCCGGGTTACTCAGGTGAGGGGCTCGGGGCGAGGCGGCCAGGCCACGTCGGGAGGAGGCGCGGGCGCCACCGGTGGCCCGAGGGTCGCAGGGGCGGCTGCGTGGTGGGGCGTGAGCCCCCGCGGTCCCGGGCCCAGGCCGGCGAGTCGTGCTGGGTCCGGGGGCCCGCGAGGCCCTTTCGCTCGCCTGTCCACGCTCTCCCGGGGCGAGCCCACCCTGACCCTCGCTTCGCTCGGGCAAGCCCGCGTCTGTCCCTCCCCCAGGGCGAGCGGGTCCCCGGCCCCACCTCCCGCCGCTGAGCCCACGCGTCTCCCGGCTTTGCAGCTCCTAGTCCGCCCGTGAGCTCGCAATGAGCCGGAGCCCACGCAGCGCTTCTCGGCTGGCTCCTGCCTCTGTTCTCCCAGGTGTCAAAATGTACCTTCTGGGAACCAGCAGTTAGCGTAATGGCTATGTCGCTGGACTCCCACATAGTCGACCGCGGTTCGCGTCCCGGACCCGGTGGCTTAAAACTCACGCCGGGCGAGTGTGCGTGCGTGCCCAAGATCCCGAGAGGAGAATGGAGGAGAAGGGATTGCGGCGTGACCATCCCCCCTGGGGTGTGATTTATCGCTTTCTGTCTCTCTGTCTCTGTCTAGCGAACGCACGGCGCCTTTCGCTTTTCTCTTAGGGCTGCCCGCTTACTACTAACTGCCTATCACACTTAGTTTCCTCGAGGAGGTGGCCGTCCCTAATGGCCTTTTGCCGTGCGGGACCCTGGGCCGCTGCTGCTGTTTCTTCCGTACCCCAACATCAGCTTGTGTGCTTTCACTTGTCCACGGCCCTCTCCCTTACACGTGAACCTCTCCAGCCTCCTGAGTGAGGACTGCCTCTGCGGCCCCTCTGGCCCTGGAGTGGCTTTAGGAAGACAAAGGTGAGGTGTGTGGATGCCAGCAGGGAGTCGTGAGCTAGACTCCGGTACAGACTCACAGACTGGAGAAGCCCTAAGGCAGAGCAGGCGGCCTGTGGGAGAGGTGGAGGGATGGTGAAGCCCTCCTAAGGAGGCAGTGGGAGCCAAAACCTGAAGAACAGGTGGAGGGGAGAGAGGCCCTGGCCCATTGGAGGATCCCTCGAGGGTGGAGGCCAATCTGAGAATCTAGGAAGCAGCCACAGGGTCTTGCCAGACTTCAGCCAAGGTGAGGATGTTGGTGTGTCCCCAAGAGCAGCAGGGTTCAGTTTGGCTCTCACTGGCCCCCACCTGCAGTAATTGCCCATTTGCATTCTCTCAGCCCCACCTCTTGGACTCCCCCCAGGCTCCCCTCTGTGATGAGCTCAGAGCCTGAACAGGCCCTGTGTAGGGGCCCAGCTGGGGAAGGAGGGCTGAGTGCATGGACGGGTAGGACTGGAAGCAGACAGGAAAAAGGAGATCGTGGAGGTGTGGCTGGCCTTAGCTCAAGGCTGCGGCCACTGACCTCAGGCTCCCCTACCTCTCCCCTCCCAGCCATCCCCATCGCGTTCTCTGAGAAGCAGCGGGCTCTTCATCACCTCTATGTGCGGGAGCACAGAGTTCGAGAAGGCACCAAGTCAGCCTGGCCTCAGAAGCGTACTCTGTTTGTCCTCAATGTGCCCCCATACTGCACAGAGGTGAGCTGGAGTCTGGGGGGAACCTGTGGGCTCAGGGAGGGGACTCCTGAGGCTTCAAGTCTGGGGAACTGAGAAGGAAACAGCTACTGAGGTCCCAGGAGGGTGTTGAGGGGGTGTGTCTGTCTCTTGTGACAGAACATTGGCATTTTAATTACGGCTTAAGTAATATAATTCGGGGGCCAGCAGGTGGCGTGGAGGTTAACGCACTGGATCCCATGTGGCCCGCTGCTCAGTTCTGCTCAGTTCGAGTCAAGGACCCTTGAAAATCATGCCAGGTGCTTGTGTGCCCTCAATCCTGAGAGGAGCCTGAAAGAGACGGGATTGTACTGTGACCATCCCCCCAGGGGTGCTTTTTCACTTTCCCTCTTTATGTCTTTCTCTGGTGAGTACATGTGGCCTATAGCAAAAACAAAAGAAAGAAATATTTTTTTGCATAGATTTTTGCTATAGAGCGTGTGCACTTACTGGAGAGATAGAGACAGAAAGCACGAAATCACTCTCCGGGGGGATTGCCATGCCGCAGTCCCTTTTCCTTTCTCCTCTTGGAACTTTGGGCACACATGTACCTGGCCCAAATCTATTTATTTATTTTAATTTAAGCAGAGAGGGAGAGAGTGAAAGAGATAGAGGGAAAGTGAGAAAGTAAGCCACCAGGTCTAGGACTTGAACCGTGGTCGGCCATGTGGGAGTCCAGCGCCCGTAACCACCATGCCACCTGCCAGCCCCTATTCATTTACTTTCATTATTTTAAATCCTTGAGGGGTACAGCATCACATATTCTGTATCCACAATGGCCTTAGCAGGAAGATTGCTTCGGAATTTGGCTTGAACCATGCCACTGTTTGCATGGGCAACCTTTCCCCGGATTACTCTGGTTTTATTTGGTTTGCCACCAGGAGTCATTGTGTTCTTTTTGCTTTGTACACATAAGCACATTTCTCGCCTAAATAGAATTCTGTTTCATCTCGTGTATAAACACCTTCAGCATGGGCAACCTTTCCCCGGATTACTCTGTATAAACAACTTCAATTTTAAGAAAAGCAGTGTGTTCCCTTTGGTTTCCGAGACCCTGCTTATATAAGCCAGCAAAAATGGCCTTGGACCGCAGCCTTCCACACACAGTTGCCTTTTAGAAGTCCTGTTTCCAGCAGGCCTCCGTTATTTCCTGGCGTGAGTTTAAATCCTCTGGGTCCAGGACTTGAACTGCGGTCAGCTACATGGGAGTCTAGCAACATAACCATTACACCTTCTTCTGGTCCCAGCAAGAAATATAATTTGGAGGTCAGCCTCTGGCTTAACAATGAAGGTGCCGGATCCCTCAGGCTGATTGTGTGTTTCAAGTCCCAGACCCCATGGCTCACAACACACGCCAGGCACGTGTGTGTGTGCCCCAAATCCAACAGGATGGAGAAGTGGAGGGACTGCATGTGACCATGCTCCACCGGGGGGTGCACATGCCCTCTAAGGAGCACAAAGCTTTTTTTTTTTTTAATTGTCTTTCCTGAGAGAGACAGAGACAGGTACCCCAGCAGGGTTTCATCATGGTTATGCTGTGATCCCTCCATCAACCCTCCAACCTGTCAGTTCTGACCCGTGGCCTTCCCGTGCGGCTCCAGTGTCTTTGCTGCCGTGCCCTGCTGTCTGAGCCACTGAGGCTGGAGCTTTTTAATGTTTTTTTTTTTTCCTGATTACAAAAGTAGTACATGTCTGGGGCTGGCAGGTGTCATGGTGGATAAAGGTGCTGGACTCCCACATGGCTGACCACGGTTTATGTCCTGGACATGGCGGCTGGCTTTCTCACTTTCCCTTTCTCTTTCTCTCTCTCTGGTCAAATTAGAAAATAATAAGAAATGTAATGAAATAAATAAGTAAATAATTCTTTCAAAAGAAAAAGAAGAAGAAGAGAAAAGGCAGTCCATGTCCTGGCCCAGCAGCTGCAGGCACAGATAGTGCTTCCCGTGGGAAGCTGGAAGCTACGTGGGAGACCTGGGTCCGCTTTCCCAGCCAGTCCGGCAGGCTGAGCACAGCTGCACATGCCTGCAACTCTGCCAAGTGGGAGGCTGAGGTTGGCGCATCCCATGTGGCAGACCCTGTGCCTCCCTTTCCCGTTCTTTCTTGCTCTCATAAAAAAGAAAAAAAAAAAGATACATGTTTGTTTTTTCCTTTTTTTAGAATCATTGTATTTAACTTTATTATTTTTACTTTGATCAGAGAGGAACAGAGTGAGAGTGAGACAGAGAGAAAGTGAGAAAGTGAGAAAGCAAGCTGCCAGGTCCAGGGCTTGAACCACAGGAGTCTAGCATCCTTAACCACCATGCCACCTGCTGGCCCCTCTTTTTTCTTTTTTCTTTTTTTTTTTTTTTTTTTGAGGTTTTTTTTTTAGGGAGA